GGATTATGGACATCTGGATTAAAGACTTTTGACTGTATATTAAAGCTTTATTTGAAGTAATATGCACAATTATGTACATTAAATCTTCCAATTTCATCAGCTACTGGTTTAATTATGTATTTTGTATCCCACAGTAAGAAAGTGAAGTTTAAAAAAAAAATCTATAATTACAGTATCTAGAGGATTGATTTTCTACATCTAATTAACTGTTCAGGAAAGGCTCCGATTAAGAGCTGCATAGGACTGCTAAGTGTACTACAGGTCTCTGAAAAATGTTGAGTTTAATCTTCTGGATATTTATTTACAATACACAAATTTTGTATACATTTCAAGTTTTAACATTCTTCAAAACTGATCTAGGGAGATAAGGTGTACATTTAAAAATTCGTTTCTATTCACAATTTCTTATGTACAGGGTTCGTAGCGGTCCTTACAAGTGCTTATAAGTCCTTATATTTGAAAACAAAATATAAAGGCCCTTATAGGTGCTTACTTTTTCTTTAAAGTCCTTTTTTTTTTTTTTTTTTTTTTTTTTTTTTTTTGCTTTTAGTCTTTTTTTTTTTTTTTTAATGAACGCGCTATTTTTCACCGTATCAAAGCCGAAACTAAATAAACAATTTTTCTTCCTAATATGGAATGTCAAGATGGTGAGTCATACTCCCGGAAATAGCTTTTCCCCCCTTTCTCTGCATTAACATAACCTTTGGTGTGCACTAAGAGTACAGACAGGTGCCCGTCGTTCTATTGGTCAAAGAATTGCGAAAGCAGTAGAAAATTCTGCTACATTCGGCATTCTTTTTCCTCCCGCCCAAATACTACACACGTTTGAATTTCTGTCAAGATCTTAAAAATTTGCATTGGTCAGTTCATATTCGTGTTTATAATGATCGTTATGCTTATATTATGAGCATATGTATGAACGTTTATAATAACATAATTCCAATAACTGCTGAAGTATAGTAAACTTCCAAAAATGGTTGTGCTTTAACACAGATTAGCTTTCTAAGGAATAATATTCGGAATGGCTTAAATAAAGGGAAAGTAATCGAATAGTCAAAATAATTTTATTTTTTTGGCCAATATATTATACAGTACGAAGGTTGGGAGGTCTCCCCTTTCTCCGCAAAATCTTGAATATTGAAGCTGTTACAGTTCGCTGCAAAAACAAGCAAAGGACTTTTTTTTTTTTTTTTTTTTTGGTTACTTTCCAATCTGGATTGAATAGGACTAAAAGTTCTGCGATTTACCAACCCAAGCGAAGAATGATTCTATTCCGGAAATTTAACGCCGTCTGTTGAAAATTAGAATGAAAAACACCCCAGTTATTTAGTTCTTTATTCTCCCAATACCGGCAGCTGTTGATTTCGATTGCGTAATATCACGTAGGGAAGAATTACGGCACACATATTGCGCAATAACGTTCGCGATATTTTGCAGAGATAATTAATTTTTATGTTCTGTCCAAGATTTGTTTATAAGCACTTAAAAGAGTTTTACTGTGCTTGCTAAGCAGAATATTTTTCAGTTCCATTAATTTATTTTTGTATGATGCACATATTGAAATGTCAAAAGCATTTATTAGCGGAAAAATCTAAGGAGCGGCTACAGTCTACCCCCCCCCCATCTCCGCTCCTTCAAGTTACGCTCGACTGTCCGAATATTCGCCAATTCCAAGTATGCGGGTTAGTTAAGCTTTTACCGTTAAAGATGGCTGCATGAAGCAAATTTCTTCAGAAATGTTCCTCTTTTTTACTTAAATTACTTTGCTTGCAATTTCTGTTAAGAGAAAACTGATACACAATGAAAATTTAGAAAATGTTCAGAATTTAGATTTAAATTATTTAAATATCAATATGAGTGGAAAAATAAATTGTATTTATTATCATGTTCCAAACGAATACAATAAATATGCCTTATTATTATTTATTTTCTCTATTTTGAACTGAAATTTCATCATTAAATCTTGTAATATAGTTTAGTTCTTCAAAGTTTTTTTTTTTTTTTTTTTTCCTCTCATTGTAAACTAGTTCTGTAAATAGAAGTATTATTTAAAATTTAAAAAATAAAAAGTAATTATTTTCCATGGTTCAGGTAATGCTTATTCTCTCTCTTAATAAGTACTTCATTTCTCATATTTTAAATTACAATTCTAATTTTTAAGGTTATGCAGTTGTGTATGATGTAATTAGACAGGTGCTTATTTTTTTTTCTTAAAATGTGCTTGAAAAGTGCTTATAGGTGCTTATTTTTTTAACTAAAATGTGGCTATGAACCCTGTATATAAAAAAATCTTCAAAATATTTCAGTTTCATAAAACATGATTAGTTTCGACTGAAGTTAGACCTACATTCTGAATACTCTGGTGTTGACACCACTATCCCTGTAATATCCTATAAATTAAGTAATTTACTATTCTGATAATGAGTGTAAAAAGTTGAATATTGAAGTATTTTCAAGTTTGCATTATTCTTAATAATTTGTGAATGTATAATAAATTTTTATTATGTAGTATCATCTCCACCCTGTCTTTATTCACTATTTTATGGGGAAATATCTGGTTATAGCAAAAAATTTCCACCAAAAAAACATTTTTAATAAAGTTAGAAAAAAAAAACATGAAAGCAGATGAGTGAGGGTAGTACCAACCACCCAAATCTCTGATTTTCTGCCAATGTTTTAGTAGTTTTTCAAAGCTACCCGGAAACTTGGTGGTCGCAAGTCCAAAAACATATCAACCTCATTTCGGACATCCTGTGCAGAATGGAAGATAGCACCAGCAAGATGTAGCTGCAGGTGTGAAGAAAAGGTAGAAGTCCGAAGGAGTGATGTCAAGGCTATATTGTGGGTGTGGCAAAAGATATTCAAGCCCGTACAGGGTCCAGCTGGTGAATGCAGACACGTGTGGTCTTGCATTATTTTGATGGAATATAACCTTTTTGCGACGGATCTCGGTTCGAAATTTTTCCTTGATAGCAGCATTAACACGGACTAGCAACTTGCTGTAAACCTTAACTCTCAAGGGTTTTACCTTTTTCTAGATACTCTTTGTGGATAATGCCATGGAAAACCCACCAGATACAAAGCATGATCTTTTTTGTTAGTCAAATTGCATTCTGCGATGCTGCCAACGAGCTCACTGGGTGCAGACCAACCCCCCTTTTCATCCTGTATTGTAGAAGTAAATCTACTTTTCATCACAAGTGACGATCCAGTCCAGAATTTTGCCCTTGCATTGATATTCAATCTGATTGGTGCTGCCCTCAAACATGTCTGGTCTTATTTGCTCGAGTCGGCTCATGGGGCACCCAGCTATTGAACCTGTACGACAAGTCTATGTGATGCATATCATGACTAATGTACATGGCACTTACATCTAATTCCTTAGGAAGCTTTCAAGTAGTTGCATACTGATCTTTCATAAGTTTTCTCAGACAGCAGTAGGCTGGCTAGAGCGCTCTGCTTCTTGAATGCCACAGTTAATATTTTTTTAGCATTTGGTACCAAACCTTCATACTGTCATGTGATAAAACATTAGTACCTTAAGCTGTACGTGATTTGGTGACATTCTGTAACTGACTTTTTCCAACATAACCAGAAGTAAATGAAATGATCTGGTAGCTTGATAGTTCCATTTCAGAGACCTTGTACTTTATGGTAATGATACTTTTTTACAAATTTCACGACACAGTACTGTAAAGCAAGTCTCTCTTTCAAATACCAGAAAAATTATTTTACGAAATATGAGGCTGTACTCTTATAAGCACCCTAAGATCACCAAATGTGGTGATATGTGTTCTGCGCTGGTTTTTGGCGTGATTGCGTATGGTAACCCTTTTGACGTTGAATACTCCTTTGCTGGATTGATTTAATTGCTCGTTGGTTCGTGTCATGCGGGTTTTGAAATGGCCAATGTTGCAATGAGATACGTGGTTGCAAGAGGGACTGAGAGATCATTTTTAGTGGCTGTGCATGATAGAAGTAAAGAAATGCTGATGCAGTGTATTAAGGAGTGGATTGAGGTTTGTACAACTATTTTTTTGGATGGCTGGAAATCTTACAAGGATTTAGGAAAAGAAGGTTTTGAACATTTATTTGTGAACCATAGTATGAATTTTCTGGATAGTGTGTCTGGCTATCATATAAATACAATAGTGATTATGTGGCGGCATGAATTTGGTATTTCTGCTGTTCGAAAAAGCATTCATTCATGGTAAGTGCATTTTATATTATTCTTGTTCTTATTTTGTAGAATTTAGTTCATATTTTTTAGTATGAATTTCTGTCAATGTAGTTTTTTTATTGTTTGAATTTTTTTTTTAGTTTATTTTGTGATTAGTGCGCAGTGCCTAGATTGTACAATTGTAGAGTTTTTAATTTGAAACAGACCGCTGTGTACATGGTATTCTTTGAAATTTATTGTTGTTATGTTAATTTATTAAAGCGAGGTGTTCGTAGATTCTTTCACTGCTTATTGTACAATTCGTAGATGCTTTTTAAGTTAAACATATATAACTGGTTCTGTCAAATATTTTTGGTTAGAAACTTTTTTGCTATCTAAATTTTTTGTTTTTGTTTCGGATTTTTAGCTTAAATTGCGTGTTCAAAACATTGTTTTTGCATTTACGAAAACCGCATTTTTGGAGACATTTTAGGCTTAAAGTTCGAAATGTAGAAAAAAAATTTAGATAGTAATATGGCACAGTGGAGTTTCTTGCCAAAAATGTTTGTTGACTTAAGGGCGCATATAAAAATAGTTCCAAATATGATTAAGCACGCCCACATGAAATGTGTGCTCAGATGATAATTGCGGTGGTGGAAAACTTTTATTAAAACCCAATTTATATTCATTTAGTTACTTTGTGTAAATGTTTTTTCCAGTTGTGCAAAATGATGAAACATATTTTATGGAAGTTTTATGAAAATTATGATTATGTGACAAAAATTTTAGTGGTCTGATAATTTAATTACTTGTTAATGCATATTCTATTTATTATTATTAGGGTTGGTACATTATAACATATGCTTTAGGAATTTATCAACTCAATCTTTTCCTTGCTTTTCTTACTCCTAAAATTGATCCAGCTATGGGTGAAGGTAAGCATGTTTCGTGATCTTATGAAATTTCTAAAAATTAAACTCGTTAATTGAAAGAGTAGTTACATATATTCTCTGAAAAAAATTTTACTGAAAAATTTATATTTGTTGAAATTATAATCAATTGAAAAATATGTTTTTTTAGCATGTCCATTCTTTTAGTTTGTCCTTGATGATTCTTGATTAATTATCAGCTGAATTCAGTTGCATTTAAATTTTTGCTTTCTTTTTTTTTTTTTTTTTTTCATGAATTATAGTGAATAATAAATATATTTTTTTTTGTTTGTAATTCATATAACTATTGGAATCAATTGCTTATTTTACCTGAAATTTGAAAAAAAAAAAAAAAAAAAAAAATTCTCCCATTATGTTACCAACTGCAAACAGCTTTTTACTCATGCTATAATTACGTGATTATAAGACTCCCTTCTCCCTTTTTTTTTCTTCTGCTAAATTTTTGTTTTAAATTTACTAGGGTCTCGTAATCTAATATTTTAATAAGTGAAATTACAGAAGGAAAGAAAGGAGTTTAATTATCATCCTTTATGAAATAATTATACGTTTTAAATATTAAACCTCACAAGTAATTACAATATATATGAACTGCATAGCTATTTCTATTTATTTCCGTGTCTAGTTAAGCAGTTTCAGTTTAGGTATGCATTCATTGGGCTGGTTAATGATATGCATGAAAACAAATATATAACATTAATTTTTTCTACTTTTTTCTTTCTATACTAAACTAAAATATTGTGTTTAACTAGGTAGCTTATTAAGACACAATAACACGCCGAATAAATACTAATTCAGAAGTCAAACAGCAAAAATCAGCGTTAATTTACAAAATTTTCACAGGACTAGTTTCGATGGTTTTACCGAACCATCATCTTCAGCTGCAAAACCGCAAATGAACAAGATAGGAAATAATGTTTAGATAAGATGATAAAGCCTGGACAAGAATAAGCAAGTGGCGCCATCTGTTGGCGAAACCAGAACTAAAACATAATTTCTCTAAAAGCCGAAGGCAATTTGGATTGGAATTAGGATCGTTAACTAGAAACAGAAAGATTTTTATGAATGTGAAATGCCTCTAGAAAATCCATTCTCCAATGGAAGATGTTTTTTTTGAATAATTTTGGCATCAGAAAAATTGAAAGTGTGATTTTCGGACCAACAATGTTGAGCACAGAAGACTTCTGTGTTTCCTTTTTTCTAACATAATGCCTCATGTTCTTGACGCAAAATTTTAAGGCTCTCTTAGTTTGGCCAATGTAAATTAAAACCGCACTGGCAAGGAATCCATAATACCCCAGGAATTCATATCCGGAATGGGGTCCTTGAGTATAAGTTGGAATTTTATTGATGGGAGAGTAAACAACCCGAAAGTTAAATTTCTGCAAAATATGTGCAACTTTATAGCTAATTGATGAAAGAAGGGAATGACAACAATTTTTATAATCTCCTAAAATAAGAGTGTGGCTTTTAGTGTGTTGAGATGAGAATTTTTTAAACTGCTTGATTAATAATGTTGGCTGAAAAGCCCCTGTCAATAGCTATTGCTTTTAAATAATTTAGTTCTTCATCAAGGGCTAGTTTGGAGGAGCAATGGAGGAACCATGCCGGGAAGTTTAAAGTTTCAAACAATTTTGATTCATAATAATGCATGTAGATATCAGCCAGGATGAGACTGAGGGGTCTTCCCATGGCTAATCCCTCAGTTTGCTTGTAATATTTATTTTGGAAAACAAAATGTGTTTGATTCAAACAGAGTTGAGTGAGAGAAATTAGCTCATCAATTTCGATGCAAGAGAAATGAAATTCGCAAGTCTGGTTTCTAGACATCTTAATGCACCCTCCACTGGGACATTGGTGAATAATGATTTTACATCAAAAGAACCATGAGTAAATTACGAGGAGAATGTTTTAAAACTTTTTTAAAAACTCTATTGAATTTTTTATGTGTAAATGTTATTGTCTAATAGATTGGAAATCTAGAACTAAATATTTAGCTAATGGATATGAGGCAGTACCTAAATTTGATACAATAGGGCGGAAAGGAATACCACTTTTATGAATTTTGGGAAGAGCATATAATCTAATACATCAAGCCAATAGTTAATATTTCTAATGTTAGTCTTTCAGAAGAACAAGAGAGAATTCTAAAATATAATTTTAACTTCTCACAAACCTGTAAACCCTCGATTCCAAAGATTTTGGCTCCTATCAAAAAAGCTTTCAAGTTCAGTAAAGTTTCAGATTCACAGAAAGAAATGATTAGGCATCTTATCGCTCATAATGTGAAATTCAATAATAAACCTTTTGAAACCAAATCTAACTGTGAGAGAAAGAGCTACAATGCGCGAGATTCATTCTAACCCGGATATTGTCATTTCAAAGGCCGACAAAGGTGGCCAAATAGTCGTCATGGATAAGAACACTTACATCGATGGTGTCACTAAACTCTTAAACGAAGGACCATATAATCCGATCCCTAAAGATCCTTCACCTTCAGACTTATCCAAAATAAAAACTGCGATCAAATCTTTGCAAATCATTTCAAGCAACTTAAAACATTCGCTTATCCCATCTGTTGCGAATTGTGCCAGATTATATGCTCTTCCCAAAATTCATAAAAGTGGTATTCCTTTCCGCCCTATTGTATCAAATTTAGGTACTGCCTCGTATCCATTAGCTAAATATTTAGTTTCTAGATTTTCCAATCTATTAGACAATAACATTTACACCATAAAAAATTCAATAGAGTTTGTAAAAAAGGTTAAAAACATTTCTCCTCGTAATTTACTCATGGTTTCTTTTGATGTAAAATCATTATTCACCAATGTCCCAGTGGAGGGTGCATTAAGATGTCTAGAAACCAGACTTCGCGAATTTCATTTCTCTTGCATCGAAATTGATGAGCTAATTTCTCTCACTCAACTCTGTTTGAAACAAACACATTTTTTGTTTTCCAAAATAATATTACAAGCAAATTGAGGGATTAGCCATGGGAAGCCCCCCTCAGTCCCATCCTGGCTGATATCTACTATATGCATTATTATGAATCAAAATTGTTTTGAACTTTAAAAAACTTCCCGGCATGGGTTCCGCTACGTAGACGATACTTTTACCCTGTTTGAAGGTAATAAAGATGATTTAAATAGAGTTCTTTCAACAATGAATTCTATTGATCCTGCTATTCAGTTCACTTTTGAACTTGAGACTTGCAATTCTCTTCCGTTTCTCGACATTCTGGTCACACGTAACACATCCAACTTCAGTACTACAGTTTACCGTAAACCTTCATCGGTTTGCCTTCCACCACACTTTAAATCATGTCATCCGACTAAACAAAAGTTAGCTTCATTTTATTCCTATGTTTTCCATGCTCTTCAAGTTTGCTCCTCCAAACTAGCCCTTGATGAAAAACTAAATTATTTAAAAGCAATAGCTATTGACAGGGGCTTTTCACCCAACATTATTAATCAAGCAGTTAAAAAATTCTCATCTCAACACATTAAAAGCCACACTCTTATTTTAGGAGATTATAAAAGTTCTGTTGTCATTCCCTTCTTTCCATCAATTAGCTATAAAGTTGCACATATTTTGCAGAAATTTAACTTTCGGGTTGTTTACTCTCCCATCAATAAAATTCCAACTTCTATACTCAAGGACCCCATTCCGGATATGAATTCCTGGGGTATTTATAGGATTCCTTGCCAGTGCGGTTTAATTTACATTGGCCAAACTAAGAGAGCCTTAAAATTTCGCGTCAAAGAACATGAGGCATATGTTAGAAAAAAGGAAACACAGAAGTCTTCTGTTGCTCAACATTGTTGGTCCGAAAATCACACTTTCAATTTTCTGCTGCCAAAATTATTCAAAAAAACATCTTCCATTGGAGAACTGGATTTTCTAGAGGCATTTCACATTCATAAAAATCTTTCTGTTCTAGTTAACGATCCTAATTCCAATCCAAATTTGCCTTCGGCTTTTAGAGAAATTATGTTTTAGTTCTGGTTTCGCCAACAGATGGCGCCACTTGCTTATTCTTGTCCAGGCTTTCTTATCTTATCTAAACATTATTTCCTATCTTGTTCATTTGCGGTTTTGCAGCTGAAGATGATGGTTCGGTAAAACCATCGAAACTAGTCCTGTGAAAATTTTGTAAATTAACGCTGATTTTTGTTGTTTGACTTCTGAATTAGGTAGCTTATCTTTCAATCTACTCGGAAACAAACGTATTCTTATCAGATCTTTGCTTTCATTCTAACCACCTGCATTTTAATTTTTTAAAGAATTTATTATAAATTGTAAGGGTGGTCTTGTATTTGAATCGGTTTTCTTTTTAAGTTAATGGAAGTGGAACTCGTCAAAACTACCCATTATCTGATCGTATATTTTTATAGATTTGGGGAGGTGGAGCATCATAATCTTTTCAAATATGTATGATTTAAATTTACTACAATTATAGGTATAATTTAAAATTGTAAGTCTTGATATTTGTATGTATATTGGATAAAATTATGATAAGCAAATTATAAATGTTTCCCGTTTGCCCTTGAAATTGATAGTCTTGAAAAAATTCTATCCCAAACACAAGTGTTGTTACTTATTTTATTTTTTGAGGGGATGTTTCTTTTTTGCCTTAAATAAAATTATATTTACTTTTTAAAGTAAAGTCTGCTATATTATTTTGCTTGCTTTCTGTTACTAAAGTCTTCATTGATGTTAAAGGAGTCTTAGTTCATTCCCCCAGTTGCTGTTAAATAGACAGTAGTGAGATTTTGTAAAAACAAGGTACTCAGTTGTAGGTCTTAAAAAAACACTGTTATAATGACATCTGCAGCAATCATGTGTATTAGTAAACTTGTTCTGTAGATTGTTAGACTGTATGTTACTGTGAAATGCAAAAGCTGGAAAGGATTAATTTTCACATTTCTGTTTCATCTTAGTAACGGAAATAAAATTGATATATTCCTGTGTCAGTGAGGAAATTTTCTGGATTGATATCATCATGATCCTAATTTTGTTGACTTTATGTTTTTCATTCAAATATTTCATATAAGTAAGGAAGGCATAGCAAGAACATAAAGCTGGTGAAACCTCGATGATTTCTTCAAAAGTTCTTTTCTAATGTAAAAATCATTTTGTCTTCACTTAAATTTTGTAAGATAAATGTCATCTTTTAATTCTTCAGTTATAAACATTTTGTTTTCGTCTTGATGATCCAAGACTAACTCCCTATAATATTGCATCTTGTGTGAAAAATTGTGCCCCCCAAAAGAAATACCACCCATCTAGTTATTGCACTGCATTCAGAAATAGTTTAAAGGCTGTGATGATTTTTTAATGAAATTTAATTTCTTACTCATCATAATGCTACACATATTGTAGACAGGGGAAGTTTGCAGGAAATTGAGTAGGTTGAAATATTTTGGATAATTATCTCTTACTTGACATTTATTGAATTGCTGTTTTACTTTCAGGAGAAAAAGATATGCCATATAGGATTTGGTAGTGTGGAAAAGTTGACTGTGGAATACCAAGCCATCAGTCAGATTAACTGCAATCAGTAGCAAATGGGGAGGGTGCAAATCATTTTAATAATAATAAAAAAATAGTGAAAACAATCTGTGTCTTAAAATAAGAGACACCCAAAAATTTAAGCAAAATAAGTCCCTTTCATCATAAATTTGCCACTGCTAGGAATGGAATCAGAAATATTTGTTAGCAGAAAAGATTTCTTCATAGTGTAAAAAAATTAGAGAGTGTCCAAGCTTTACTTGAAAGTGCAGTGTTGAATTTTGTCAGAGGACACAAGAGCAAAAGTGTAATCACTTGAAATGATTCAGATGAAAAATCAAGCAAAGATTAGCATAGTGCAATAATTTAGATTGAGACAAAATAATTGGTAAACCGAAAAGGTCTTAATTATAAGGGGATGAGAATCCTTACCTAGTAGCTGCAGGATTGCATAGGAAAAAGATCTGAACCAAATTGTGACTGGCCCTCAAAATCTCAGTGGACATGGATCCCCTACTTCATAAATCTTTTGCTGGTTGCAACCAGTCCAATGTTCAGAGTATACTTTATTAAGAAAATGTTGTGTTCTACATAAACATTTTAATGGTATAATTGGATTTTATAAAGAGAAATTTGGGAAAATTTTTTTTTTTTTTTTTTTTTTTTTCCTTCTTGTTTGATGTAATTCAAATTGTTGCATGCTGAATAAATTTTGAACTGTTTCAATCAAGGCAACCATTTTCAATAACTCTGTATTTTATTTATTATGTAAATGTTAAAAACAAATTAAGTAATTAAATAAAAAGAACATCTAAAAACAAAATATTATATCTTCTAAAAATATTTACATCTGAAAATTTAAACAAATTGGATTATTTCATTGTATTTTAAAGTAACTATTATAGGGAGTTAGTAAGTATGGTATTCTTCTGTTATCAGGAACAGATTCAGAAATTTATGTATGTATTCATATATGCATGTGTATATAAGTACATGTGTAGTGCATGTATAAACACACATACATACATAAACATGTGCCTACATATATACATTTCTGAATCTAGTCCCGATAACAGAAGAGTATCATAAATATTTTAGAGCATAAACAAAATATTATATGTAAAAAACAATTCTTTTATGTAATTATTTTATGAATTTTAATTATAATCTATAAAATATTTACATCTGAAAATTTAAATGCATTGGATTGTTTCATTGTATTTAAATGTAAGATAATAAAATATATAAAAAAGTGACTTAAGAATATCTATAGGTTATATCAGTTGAATTAAAAACTGTACTTTATCCCCAGAGTGGAAGTACCACCTTTATCTAAATGATCATGAGATTTTTTGTGACTTGGTGAATATTAGCTTATAATTTACTATATTTTCCTTTCTTACCTTTTGTACTGATGTGAATATCATTTTAGTGAATGGACGTTTATGAAAACAGGGATTTAATTAAATAATTATACAAATTTAGCTAATACTGTATAAATGCAGTTCTTTGTGAACAGATTCATAATGCTGTGCCATTCAGAGAATTAAACTAGGATACTTTCAAACCTTTTCAAGTGATTAACTAAGTTGCACTGTTTTGTTTAGAGTTGATTTCATCATCTTAGTCGATACTTTCTTATAGCTATAGCTAATTTCATAAAAATATGTGGTAATGAAAATATTTATATATTTTTAAGAAGACAATGTAATAGCTGTTTTAATATATTATTCAGTTATATCTAATGAGTATGTATTTCAGATGATGGGCCTAGTTTACCAACCAAAATGACTGAAGAATTCAGACCATTTATTAGACGGTTACCAGAATTTAAATTCTGGTGAGTATATTGCATTTTTAAGTAAAAGTATGTATATTTGTAAAATGTAAGATATTTTTTTTTTCACTTTATCTTCTTTAGTTTAGCTAGCTATATGAAATGCTGCGTCAAACTTTCAAATTTTTATAAAGCAGAGATTTTTTATTTGGAATTTTCAGTTTATGTATTTGTTAGTATCGTATAAATTGTTGTAAATTAGTTGTGGTAATTTGCTTTATGCACAAATTTAAAATTCATAGTATTGAAAAATATGCTCAAGTATTAGACATTATTGCACATTTTTTTTAGGTTGGTTTCTCTGGGTCAAATTTTGAAATTCTTTTTTACCACCTTCTACCACCTCAATTTTCTTCTAATGCTTCATATTTGATTTTATTTACATACTTGTAGTGACTGCAATATTCTACAGAATGTTTTAAAAAAATAATATAGGTCTCTCCCTTTTGGGGGGGGGAATGGATGTATATGTGTTGAATTTTTGTCTCATATTCTTGATTAACAATCGAGCTAATCACTGCATAATTTCAATTTGTAAACATTCAGATAGATTGAAAAATAAACTTATTGATTATTTAATTGATTTATTGAATTTAGGCTGTGTTTCAAAATCTTTCAATTTTTGGTTATTGGGCTGTGGCTAACAGTGATGACTTTTTAATTAAGATGACTTAAAAATCCATAAATTCGTCACTATTAGTATTAGCAAGCCCATGATTATAAGTGGTGATAATATAAAATTCCTAAATCAAATAAAAATTTAAATAAATGTTTATTTACTTTTTTAGACAAATTTTAAAAATATATATATTTAATTGTCATAATATTCTTAGTAATACTTGATATGCTACTTATAGAATTCATAATTTTGATTTAAAATCAGCAGAGTGTTTTATTTCTGTATGATAAAATTGTATGTATGCCATATTTCACTATTTATTACATTTGACTAAAATTGTGTTATTTCTAAAGTTTTTAATACTTATTTGGTAGCTAATACAATTCATAATTTTGATTTAAAATCAACATTGTTAGCAATCTCACTGTTCTAATAGTGTATGACCAAAAGTGTTGATAGCTGAAAAAATTACATTTTAGGTTTTTGTGAATTTAATAATTAAAATCATGTGGTTTAAAAAGTTTTTAATATTTTTTATTTAACTTAAAAATTAAGTATTAATGAGATAGGTTTTTAAAAAAAAATTAAACTTTAAAGAAATTTTAAGAGGAGAGACAGTGAGAGGGGGTGCAATGAATAATAAAAGTTTTTAAAAAATTGTATTTTACTGAAAAGTAGTGTAGTTCTTATTGGCTTATCTACTTTTCAGGTTTGTTTTTAAGTTGCTCTCTATCTGGTAGATAATATCAGTAGGCAGTTTTATGATCTTGTGTGATAACAGATTTATTTTTGTGGATGTGAAAATATGTTGAGTACTTCATGATGTCCTTAAGAAGGCAACTACAGATTTTGTATTAGTAATTCAGTAGCTGCTGATCTCTATTACTGGAATTTGAATAGACTAAGGTTGGTAGTATATTTGTCCCCCCCCCCTTCTTTTTTTTAAATTGAACCAGAAATCATTGATCACATGAAGATCCCATGGCAACAGGAAAGAATTTTAAATCAATAATTTTCTTCTTCTTCATGGGGAAAAAAAGGGGGGGATCCTACAGATGCCTTTTTAGCAGAAATTATGTACAAAATTGTTATTAGTTGAAGTTTCTTTAGGCTACATGTCTTTCAAAGATAAATTTAGTCATTGTTTGTTTAATTGTAATCCCCCACCTTGTATGTGACAGTTTAAAAGTTTGAAAATTAAAATTTTTAGAGATAATTATCTAAGTTTTTAATTAACAATTAGACTTACTTAAAAATGCACTTCTGTCATGCCATTATTTTATATTGATATTGATGATTCCTTTATTGTGCCATTTATTATTGTATCAGTTTCGAAATTATTTTGCAGTAAATGTTATTGCTGTCTTTAAAAGGTTAAGTACGAGGGCCATCCAGGAAGTAGATTACGTTTCCGTCTGTGTCCGCTAGGGGCGGGGCTAGCGCGGCCATCTTGGGGTCAGAGCGTTGCGCAGCTCAGTCTGCATCTAGCCGTGCTAGTGAGAGGTTCGTGCTGTGCTCCGTTCAGATACTGTGACGGTTTGAAATGTCTGCGTTAATTGAAAATCCCGCGAGCTGCGAGGTGCACTCAGTAATAAGGTTTCTGACTGCAAAAAACTGTAAACCGATAGAAATCTATCGGCAGCTTCGTGAAGTGTATGGGGACAACATTATCACTGAAGGTGGAGTGCGTCAGTGGGTCATAAGATTTCAAAATGGCCGAACCAATGTTCACGACGAAGATCGAAGTGGGAGACCCAGCATAGTGACCGCCGAACTTCTCGAAAAAGTCGATGCTAAAGTAAAGTCCGTGAAAATCGAAATTTCACAATAACGGAACTTTCTTTGATTTTTTCCACAAATTTCGCGAAGTTTGTTGCACGAAATCATCAGCAAAAAGCTTGGTTACCACAAGTTTTGTGGCAAGATGGATTCCAAAAATCTTGACAGAGGACCACAAAAATCAGCGAATGGCTGCAGCGTTGAACTTTTTGGACGCTTACCATAAGGATGGTGACTCTTTACTCGATCGCATCGTTAACTGGTGACGAAACATGGGTGAAACATGTGAACTGTGTGAAACGAAATTGCAATCAATGCAGTGGGGGGCACACAAGTTCTCCCCAAAAACCCAAGAAATGCATGCAAACAATGTCGGCAAGGAAGATGATGGCGACTGTTTTTTTGGGACAGAAAAGGTGTAATTTTGGTGGACTTCCTGGAAAGAGGCACTACAATAAACTCTCAAAAGGTATTGCCAAACTCTCCCAAAAACTCAGAAGAGCAATTCAAAACAAGCGCAGAGGAATGTTGAGCTCTAAGATCTTGTTGATTCACGACAAACGCCCGGCCCCACACGGCAAATGTCACTCGTAAAGTTCTTGAATCTTTTAAGTGGGAGTTGTTTCCTCATCCGCCGTACAGTCCCGACCTGGCACCGAGCGACTTCCACCTATTCCCAGCAATGAAGAAGTGGCTGGCTATGCAGCGTTTTGATGACGACGCACAGCTGCAAGAAGAGGTAACGAAGTGGTTGAAGGCACAGGCGACCGAATTTTTCGACGAAGGAATTTCCAAGCTAGTACATCGCTACGATAAATGCCTTAATTTGTATGGTGACTATGTAGAAAAGTAGTATTTGAGTGTGGCTTTCATCTGTATATAATAAAATTTGTTTCCTATACTTTGTTTATTTTTTTATTCCAAAACATAATCTACTTTCTGGATAGCCCTCGTAGTTAGTGTGTTGTTGATTTTAAACTTGCATAAGCAATCTTGGTGAAAAAAAATTCTTAGACAGGTTTATCTCTCTGGATATTCTGTTTTTTCTGAACAGTTTGCAATTTCTTTTTCTTCATAGGTAATAAAAACAGACATCAGAAAGATACAGTCTGTGAAATGTCTTATCCCTTTACTCCAGTTTAAAATTTGATGAGAGATTAGAGTTGCTTGATTCTTTCCTAAAATTCTGTTTACATTAATTGTGAAGGAAACGCAGAAAAAATTCTCGTCCCTCCCCTCCCTTCCAGAAAAAGAAAGAAATAGGAAATAATAAAAAAATCTGAAAGCTTTCAGATTATTGTGTTATTATTCTTACACATTATCATTTCTGTTACGAATAATTTTTTCTAATGCTGTGTTGAAGAGTAGCATTCCCTAAGCCCATTTCTAATTCCCATTGCTTCTGAAAAATCACTCTGAACAACGCAAAGTGCTGTTTTAAATTAATAGCCCTACTAGGCTAATGCCACTTGGGCTAAAAAAAAAGTCCAGAGTTGTCAGTATGAAAATAAAGTCAATAAAATACTCATTATATAATTTTTCTCATTCTGTTCAATAAAGAGAAACCCAGAATTGTAAAAGCAGCAATTGTTTTGCTGTTGCTTTGTCTGTATTACATTAAGTGATGTTCTTTTGAGTTCATCTTCATATACCTTGTATTTTTTTAAAGATATGCTTTCAAATCTAAGTATATTAAGTGGCAGTTAGCAAGCGTAATTCTTATAAATGGGTTTTAACTTCTTCCTTCCCCTTTATTTCTTCTTTTATATAGGTTAGTCCAAAGTAATGTCAAGTAATATTTTTACTTTGGGAAGTTTTATGAATATGATGAACATGTTGATTTCTTTATATTGTTTATAATGATAAATGTTGAAAAATTAGTGTTGAATTGAGCTATGTATACCAGGTATCCCAAAGAAGGAAATCGTGGAGAGTTTATGGGACATGATTGAAATGAATCCCTTTATTTGTATCGTACAGATCTTAGTGCGATAAGATTTTAAGTGCATTCCTATTTTTTTCATTCCTTGTTAGTTTAGACTTCCACCTTGTTACTTTAGAACATCCATCCCACAATCCCAGTGCTCTTCATTTGCATCAAAAAAGAGAAGGATGGAAAGAATGAGAAAGAAAGAGGATTTTCAGAACCAGTACCATATAACCGAGAAGATGAAAAAGTACTTCCATTAGTAATCTGTTTGGTAGTTCTGCATCTCAAAATTTCTTTAATGTTTTGTGAATTGAAGTAAAAATTTTGTAAAAAAAGGTTTAGCATAGCAGAAGGGCGTAATCTTTTTCTTTTTTCCTGTTATGCATTGAATCACTTGGAGTAAGTAAAGAAACATGAAAAAATTTCAAATATTTCTATCCTTATACAAGATGGCATATTTTTTCCCTCCTAATCTATAATAAATATCAGAACGGCTGCTAATTTTGTTGTATAGTTATGTTAAGTTGCTTTGAATAGTCTCAATTGTATTTATTAATTTATATCACATATTGACTCTGAATTTTGTCAACATGTCATATAGGTTTAAGAAATTAATAGTTTTCTTCCAAATTTTATAACATTTATTTTGAAAAGATTTGTGTTAGAAAGATAAATTTTGATAATTTGATTCATGTTTTTGCAGGTATTCTACCGTTAAAGCAACTCTGTTGGCTCTTTTTTGCACATTTTTCCAAATGTTTAATATACCTGTTTTCTGGCCTATACTTTTGTTGTACTTCCTGACTTTATTTGGAATCACAATGAAAAGACAAATCAGAGTAAGCATTTTGATTACTTTGTCATAACTATATTCCATAATTGTGTTTTTTGTAGCAAACTAGAAATGGAAATGAAGGATGTGTTCATATACGAGGGCTGTAAATTGAGTAATGGCAACACAGGTATAAATCAATTTTTAATGAACTTACAAGTACAGTTGCATTACATTTCTTCTATGTAATCACCAGCAAAGCTTATGACCTTTTGCCAAATGTCGGGAAGCCGTTGTAGACCAGTGGCAAGGTGTTGATTGTTGACGTGAGCAACCGAGCACCCTACTATGTGGAGTACAGATGAAACGTCATGAAATCAGTGACCTCGGAGGGGTTCCTTCAACTTCAGAAACAGATCGAAGTCACAAGGACTCATGTCGGGTGAGTAGGGAGGGTGTTCCAGGATTTCCCACTGCCACCATCGCAAAAGGAGAGTGACATTGTTGCGAGATGGCAACGAGCATTTCATGCAATACGATAGGGAGATTGTTGTGCAATAAACATGAACGTTTGTGCCGCATAGCCGGATGCAGATGGTGCTGCTGTAGAAATTGGCAATAGTAATCTGCGTTGACAGTTTGTCCTTCAGGTACAGCATGTGTAAGAATCACATTGTCCCAGTCGTATGCCATAATTACCATAATATTTACCCGACTGGGTTCCTGTCGAAATTTCTGTGGACGTGGCGAACCCTGGTGACTACATTCATTTGATTAACGCTTTAATTCAGGCTCATAGGCTCGTACCCATGTCTCATCAATGGTGACAATGTGCTGCAGAAATGCGTCTCCTTCATTGCGGTATCTCTCCAAGTAGGTGCCAGCCATTGCATACCAAAGCCATTTCTGTACTTCGGTTAGTCGATGTGAAACCCAAAGGGAAGCAATTTTCCTCATGTTGAGAGATTTCTTCATTATGCGCCACACCGTTTGATGACTCAGACCAACCTCTAAGGATAATTCTCAGACAGTCCATCGGTGGTCTATGGTAAGGAGACCGCTCAGGATGTCAATCTGCTCTTGAGGAATGTAGGGCCAACCTGTGCGCTGCAAATCCGCAGTCTCATTCCGACCCGAACGAAGAACCCATCGTGCTAGTGTCCTATACGGTAAAGCATTTGTGCCACAGGCTTCTACTAATCTTCGATAGCATTCTGTTGCATTTTGCCACAGCAACCTCGATTTTAAGCCACGACCACTAATCACCTTTTGAAGGCATGCTTTAGAGCAATGGAAACGAAACTGTTCACTTTAACGCCACACAACAACTACCCTTCTAAGTAGATCGGCTGATTTTTGCACTCTACACATCGACAACAGCGCCACCTCATCGCTCCCATATCCTATTTGCGCATGCCCGCCCTTCTGCGAGTTTCAAGTTTAAGTTTTATTATTTACGACCTCCATATGTTATAAAAACAAATTTTTCAGGTCTAAAAGTTATTACTGTTAAATTTTACTTGTAATTATTTAATATACTTATATACTTTTTTCATATCTTAAGCCCAGTAAAAGTTATAAATTTTGGGTGGAAATTTGGAAAGTTAAACAAAAGTTGCACACTTTGTAATCATAAAGTTAATTTCTTTTAATTTCCTGTACAAAAATTACTTCATCTCTTTAAGCCTAAAGCCCTTGTTTAATTTGAATCTTTTTCTGGGTTGTGGAACTACTTTTTTTAATTCTTTGTTGTTAATAGTGCATTTAGTGCCAGACATAAACATCGGTGTGAAACCTAACTAGATGCTGGTAACACTTATGATACACGAAGCTTCATGAAACAAGTAACTATTCTGTATATATAATGTAAGTAAGTGCAATACCAAGGCTGTTCAGAATGTCAAATTTGTGCAATTCTATGATGTGTTTTTATAAGGGACACAGATAACTGTGTACTTGGAGAGAATGAAACTGATGTGTTCTTCCCATGTATAGTGATCTGTTTTTGCTTAAAAAAATTAAAGAATTGTGCTTAATGCCAAAACTGTGCACGAATTCAGCAACATGCACAGTTTTGGCATTAAGCACATTATACATATTACACTGGGGAATAATTTGTAACGCATCTGTTGAGTTCGTTTTTTGAGCTGCTTTAAGTAGGTACGTTGATTTCAAAACTGGAGTTTTCTTCTACCTCATCAAGTTTTTACTGTATACCTATGTCAATATGACCACCCTCTGTGGCATTGAGCATGGATCATAGGAAGTACTACTGCTTGGCTAATATAATATAACCCCCCCCCAACTGGCACTGTGCAAATAGCACTGTAGACCAACAACAGGTGCATACTTGTTTAGACTAGACCAATTACACCTGAGATACTGTAATGAGATGTTGTGTGTTACTCTGATATTATGAAGCGCATTCTGATGTGGAGCCTCAGTTCTTGCTTGTGTAAAAGGTTAGCAGTTTCATTTATATATGAAATGAAATCTTTCCATATGAAGGCAGACATTGTTCTTAGTTCACATTGCAAGTGCTTAAACAGCCAGATTCTTTTTGTTATATATGTGGCAGTTTTACCATCCCCAGTCAAAGGACAAACATCAGTACATTTGTCAGAGAAGGCCGTTTTGCCTATTTTAAAGTGTGCAAGCTGTGTATTGAGACTTTACGGATATGTATGAAGGAAACACATTCTAAATTTTCATTTGGTGTACCTATAATTTGACAAGAGCCCAAAGATCACTCGATTGTTACTCTTACATACAGTACAAATTCCGTAATCCGGAATGATCTATAATCCGGACCTCAAAGGCCACAATTTTTTTTTTCCTTTACACATACGCTTAAAGAATGAGCACGCATACATTATGCGCATTACGTAAGCATGTAATGCATGCTCTACGCATGCGCGCGTTGAAAGAAATGTTTAATAAAGTAAAAAAATTAATATTAAGCCTTTTTTTTGTAAAATTTGATACCGTTTAGATCATAATAGCACTTTATTTCATAAATTATGGTTTCATATTTTTAATTGTATAATTTCTGCATGCCATCTTACCAGATTTAAACTGATGATCTATAATCCGAAATCGCCGAAGTCCCAATGAGTCCGGATTACGGACTTTGTACTGTAGTGAAAGCATCAGGGTATATATAACAAGGAAGACAAATGTAAAATAGACTATCCTAGTTTACCATCAGTGCCTTTCTCAGCTGAACTCCCAGTGCCAGTTTTCAAAGAATTACCCTCTTTGGAAACATGGGAATATGATTCTGATGAATATCGGTTTGACCCCAATGATAAAGATTTTGAAATTGAAGATGATTCCATTTGTAAGAGATTTGACCAGTATTGAGTTAAATTATTTTAGAGTATCCAAAAAAGTTAAAAAGTTGTTAGCATCGAGACTGCTTGAGAAAAGCTTTCTGAAAAAGAAGTTAAGGTATCTGTGCAGTACCTTCAAAGTGGTGATGGATTTGTATATTGCCATATCATACATAGTTTAATGGAAGAATTGGGAATTTCAGTCTATAATGTGACTCAATGACGATTATTCATTGATAGTTCAAAGTGGAGCTTAATGTGTGTCGTCCTGCACAATGGAAATTTATTTGCTGCATTCCCAATAGGCCATTCAGTTTGTTAGTGTGAAAAATATGAAGCCATAAAGGTAATCAATTTATTGCAATTTCGCATACAACAATGGATCTTGTGTTGACCTTAAAATGGTTTGCTTCCCTCTCCTTGGCCACTAGTGTGGATATACCAAGTGTGCCTGTATGTGAGACAGCAGAGATCGTGAGAAGTATTGGGTGTAGTTAAATTGGTCGCCAAGATCTGACCGGAAATCTGGTGATCCAAACATTCTACATCAGCCGCTTGTTGACAGAAAGAACATTATATTTTCACCTCTGCATACAAAACCAGGTCTCATGATGCAATTTGTTAAAGCTTTGCCAATAGAAAAAAGACTGTTTCAAGTATCTCATTTCGGCATTTTCTAACGTGTTGTTTGAAAAGATAAAAGCCAAATGTGTTTGATGACCCACGAATTCGACAGCTCCTTAAAGATGAATATTTCATTGGAACAATGACAGACCTTTAAATGAATACTTGGTTGGCATTCAAAACATTGTCAAAGACTTTCTTCGTAATATATGAATACAGAATCACAGTGAAATTGTCCAGAAACTTTTGGAGAGCTTCAGAATGCTTGGTTGCAACAGGAGCATCAAATTGAATTTTTTACATTGCTTTCTTGATAACTTCATGAAAAACTTGGTGCAGTCAGTGATGACTTGGGTGAGCGAGTCCATGAATATTTATAGGTCATGGAGGCAAAGTACCAAAGTAGATGGAATGTACATATGATGGCTTACAGTTGTTGTAGCTCCGGAAAAAGCCAGAAGCAAAAATTTTTGCTTTATTATGCATATCTACCATTTATGAGCAAATTTAACCTGCAGTAGCTATATATATATAGTCTTTGTATGAATAAAATGAATCTTTCTGAACAGTATATTTTGTAAATTTTTCTTTTATTTTCCATTATATGCATATTTTGTATAACTTTTAAGACAAAGAGGTAATTTTACAGCTTTAAAAGTTAGCCAAAAACAAGTGACAGATCTGAAACAACAAAATTATTATTCCTCCAGTGTTATCTCGCAGATCATCATGATCCAATATAAATAGAATACCAGATGAACTATAAAATTGTGCAGTGAGAAGCAAAAGTCATATTATCATGTGGTTCAGGGTTCATACAGTCCTTAAGAGTCCTTAAATTTTTTTGAATTGATTTTTGGTCCTTAAAAGTCCTTAACTTTGGCCAAAATCAGCAGAAGGTCCTTAATTTTAATCATCTGAAATTTCTGTTTGTTTTTATGACTGCCATTTTGAGTGTGAATTAGCATTTTGGAGGAATATTTTTGGCGATTCACTGACATATATGGTTATCTTTTGAATGGGTTCATGGGTTTTGATTTGTTTCTATTTCTAATAAAAATGATGAGATATTCAAGTTTCTAAGCAAGAAGTGAAACATAAGCATTTCAAA